AAAAAAAATAATATAAAAAAAAAAAAAAAAAAAAAAAAAAAAAGGAGAGAAACCTTATACAACTAAATGCTTGGGTCATATATTATTCTAGATTAACTTCGCCACAGAAAGATCCCATATGGTCTATGAAATCCATTACCTACAAGTAAGTGAACATTTGCACAGCACATGACGTGGGCTTAGCTGGTAGAGCCAAGTTCCCTTCTATAATATCCACCTCAGGGTAGATTGGTCCATTTCCAGTGTCAACAGCCCTAGAATTAAGTACTTATCTCTGTAGAACAGTGGATAATTAATACCAGATCAAACTAGGGGCTACACTCCAGAGGACTTGCTTATAGCTGTAGCGCTGACTGAGTGTGATTTGAATGCACACCTGAGGATTATGAATAGTAGGACATAGTTTCCTACTGTACAATACATGCCGGCATAGTCTTGCTGGAATCCATAAGTGATGGACCTGCCGGTTATGGTGAACAATCAACAGAGCTCGTAAGTGAAGTCAAATGAGCCAAGGTCAGTGTTTGGGAGTGAGCACTGCAGTCATTACTTGAGGCTACTGGGAGTAGAGCTGATGTGATGACTCTGATATGGGCAATATCCAGCTCTAGTAATTATGTTCGTCCTGCCTTAGCACTACTCCATCTTCTGGTCTTGGCTGGATCATGCTGCCCTAATTCCTACTGAAACATGTCTATAGTGTTACCAGGAAACATCAAACTGCCAGCATGACTTTTGACAGCGTCCTGGATTTTTTTTTTCCTGCATCCATAAACAGACCTTGTTTAACCAGCAAAGGCTGAGTTTAAAGACCTGGGGGATGGAAATGGCTGCACAGGCACCTGTCCCAGTCACAGCGGGGTGGACAATGGATGTCATCCATAATTGTGTTCTGAGATCAGCTGCTCTGTACATCGTGTATAACCCATTTCCAACCTGTATAACCCACTTCTTCCTGCAGTGAAAAGGCATGGGGAAGCCTCTTGCTGAGAGGTACTATAAGCAAGTGGATGGGACACTGTGAAGAGAGACATCTAGGTTTCTTTTCCAGCTCTGCCACTGGCCCGCTGTGTGATCTTGGGATAACACTTTACCTTGCCATACCTCTGTTTCCCCTTACAAGACTTAAGTGCAATTTGACTTGTCCCACTTTGCCTCACTGAGAAGCAAAGTCCCCTTTGCTTTGCTTCTCATTTGCTATCTATTGGCCTGCACATCTCAGGGTCACTAGTGATCAGAGTCCCCCTACAGCTGGCAGAACAGCTCTTTGCAAAGGGACTTGCCTCCTTGCCTCACTGAGAAGCAAAGCAAAGCAATGGGAGTTTTAACAGTGCCTCCAGGTAAGTATATGCCTGTGAGCCAGTGAAGGATCAAGCTCTTTGACTGTAAGCGCTTAGGCATAGATGCATCCTTTAACGTGTGCCTGGCTCTAGCATGAAGGGGCCTTGATCCCAAGATTTCATGGACCTTGGAAGATCATCGAGTCCAGCCCCCTGCACCATGGGCAGGAAGTCAACTAGGGTCAAAGGATCCCAGCAAGATAGACATCCAAATGTTTCTTAAAAGTGTCTAGAGTAGGTGCTTGCACCACCTCTGGAGGCAGTCTATTCCAGGCCTTGGGGTCTCGGTCAGTAAAGAAGTTTTTCCTTATGTCCAGCCTGAAACGGTCTTAGAGGAGTTTGTGACCATTTGACCTTGTCATCCCTTGGGGCGCTCTGGTGAACAGGCATTCCCCCAGACCCTAATGCACACCCCTCATATACTTATAGGCAGCCACCAGGTCCTCCCCCTGAACCTGCGCTTTTCCAGGCTGAAGAATCCCATGGCTCATGGATC